ACTTTGCTCCTCCCGCTCTTTAACGGCTGCAGATGCCGAACCTGGACCTCATTCCAAACCAGCAGGAGTTCAAGTCTCCCAGCTCATTAACACACACAGAATTACCGCCACATTTTTCACTTCTTAAACACAAAGGTGGGAAAACAGAGTGAGAACGACGTTTCCTCCGTGATGAGTTTGTTACAGAACTCTGATGAGTAGCTCTTCGTCATCTCCACCTCTTCATCACACAGAGAACACGACGTGTCATGAACCCCTGACAAACACCTCACCTGGTGTTCTATCCTGCTCCAATTTTTGCACTGAAATAGAATCTTTACATTTAAAATATTTAAGTCAAAGTAGAAAGTCCTTTTGCTGCTACATTAGTTTTGTTTCTTTTTTATAACAAAGCTTGAAGGCAGAAGTGTTTTCCCATTTCAAACAGGCCCAGCAGGTGGCACTAGTGTAACTCAGAGTCAGCTGAGCTGCTCATAAAATCCAACGAAGAAGTTGATCTGTATCTGAAGCTAACACAGTTAGCCTAAGATAAATAGAAGTGAGTTTAAAGATAACTACGGGTAAGTCATTAATAGCTAAATGCTATCCTCCAAGTTAGTTGTCAACTAATGTAACCTAAAAAATTAAAAAGAAAAAAAAGAGCGAAAAAGGCTAAAAGAATATGAATTAGCCACAAGCACATGTGAAAGATAGCTAAATGATATCAACAGTTAGCATTAATGTACGTTTGCCAAACATACATAAAGGTTATCTAAAAAGACAGGGAAAAAAGAAAATAAAAAAACTTTAGTTGCCAAAAATAAATAAATAAATAAATAAAAGTAAAAAAAAAACGGTGAAATTGTCCAAAAGATCATTTTAAACTCCGTCTAAAGTTCGTCCCCAAATGTGAACTTGTCTGGGAAGTTAAAAGTGAATTTCCAACCCTGGTTCTAATGGAGTCTAAATATGGCCGCTGGATCGATGTAAATCTTTTGTAATGAGGTCTGCGGCCGGGGAGCCATTATCTCTGATGTGGGAGTTGGTAAAAAGCTCAAGTCTGCAAGACAGCGCTCATTAGGAAGAAAATAAGAGAGAGAGTAAATACAAAAGAAAGAGTAAGAAGGGGTGAGGGAGGTACAGAGTGGACAGGGACGTCCTGACACTGTGGTCCAGTGGACGTGGCTCTGGTCCATCAGAGGTCGTCGGGACGTTGAGGTGGAATGTGTTTGTGTTCTTAACTTCACCTCGCTGCAGGCCGCGCCACACCCAGGCCCGGCCGCCAGCACAGAGAACACATAAAAACAAGTATTTGGGCCCCTCACAGTCTTAATTGGATTCAGAGAGCTATGCAGCATGACCTCTGAGCCTGAACCAGAACCTCCGCAGACCGCTCCCTGCTACGAAAAACCAAACAGCAGACGCCACCGCAGACGCCGCCGTACGTCCTCATTATCAGCGCGGGTCGACGGACGCGCTGCTCTCTCCGGCTCCTGGTCCAGGAAAGACTGACGTTAAAATCCATTTGTGGCGTTGCCTTCTCTGAGCCAGAGCGCTTTTCAAACCTGTGATTTTTTTATTTTTTATTTTTTCCACTGACAGAAATACAGTAAAAGTCCAGGCAGAAATGTGAGGGTAGATCAAGACCTGGTTTTGGCTTCGCTCCTCCTGGACATCTCCAAGTGGGATGGATTATATCAAGGCAGGAGTTTTATAACTCGCAGGCCCTGACGGAGCACGTCCAGAGCCGCTCGTTTACCGCTGGTTTCCGCAAACAGGATTGATGAAGCATTCGCTTCCAATCATCGTGATTCATTGAATTATTTCTCTGGAACGGCGCCACCGCTAAATGCCAGCAACAGCAGATTACGTCAAACAAACAGCATTGGAGCGCCTATTGTTTGGGTTTAGCTCAGCTCTAATGAAAGAAATGATGTCAGCCGCTCCGTCATGGTGTTTAACAACGGCAACACAACTGCCAGCTGCTATTACAAAACCCCAGCTTTCAATTGTGCAGATCAAATTCCTCTTTGTGTCTAAATTTCTTTTCAGCCTCGTCAATATTTCTGAGGGTAGAGCGGCGGCTCCTGCAGGGGGCGTCGCTACGGCGATGACGTCCGCTGTGCATAGGTTACAACTATGTTGTGCATCTTCATCCAGTCTTTACAGGTCGGTCAGGGCCAATTCCCACAGATGTGGGTGAACATTGTCTGGTGAAGGTCAGATTTTTAGTGAGTCAACATTCAGCCAAACACAAACACAAAAACACACACACAGTCAGCAGAACTCTAACTCAGATTTACTGATTATGGATTCCTTTTTTCAAAAAAATAATCCAGTCATACCCCTTTACTTTTTAATTAAAAAAAGAATCTGGCACTTGGCAGCTCTGATACTAACAGAATAAAGTCCAAAAGATGTTTGATTTTGAGACTGTGACGATCCTCCACTAGCCGTTAGCGTTAGCCTCCTGCTCTCTCTACATGTTCACGACATGACAGTTCTCTTCTCCGGGTTCAAAGAAATGCCACTCTGCAGATGTTTGTCTTTGTGCAAGAAAACCTTCAATTCGTCCAAAACTGACATCATCGCTGTCTCTTTGCAGACTCTGTGCCAGTCTCAGTGTTTCATTGTCCTGTGTTACTGCAAACACAATAACCAAAATCTGATCTACAAGGACCTCCTGCTGACAGACCCCAGGCTGATCTGCCCCCCGTGGTATTTAAAAAAAAAAAAAAAGGACTCAGACCAGGCTGGAAGTCATGAACTAAACATCCATCCATCCATCCATCCATCCATCCATCCATCTTTTCAAGCTAATGAAGCTTAAAATAAAAAGTAAATATTGACACCTTTTCCAAAGTTCTACAAACATGAAACTCTCTGATGGACGAAATGCCTTCAGATATTTTTACAGTTAAATTAATGATTTGTAGAAAAATAACCACTGAGTTTTTTTTTAGTTTGCCTTTAACTTTCTTGATCTTATTTGACTTTAAATGTATGAAATATTGAAGTCGAAGTTCGAACAAAAGCAAATTTTTATACATTCACAGTCTCTGAAACCTCAGCCAAAAATCAAGTTCCTGGTATTTGTACTGCTCCTGCTGAGTCGACAGAAGTTAAAACATCATTAACTCACTCCGTTTTGTTACCTGCTGTTATTCAAGGATAAAATATTGATTTAGGCTGTAGGTGATGTGGGGAGAGGAGGGAGATAAAACCTGAGAAAACACGGTCCGAGTCGGAGTCTACCACTTTGTTCACACACTCCTGCAGCAGATTACACTCAGGCTCCAGGGCAGAGAGCTCTTTTTAATTACACTTGACTTCCAGTATAAATACATTTTTTTATCCACTTCAGGCCTAAGTTTAAAAGTTCACGGTTGAACTTCAGTGAACCGTCCCACAGCGGTGCACTCGGGGTCAGGCACCTGCGACGCCGTCTCAGAGGTGAGTGGCTGCAGAACGTCAAACGACATCGATTTAGAACGAAACAAAAAAAAACAAAACAAAACAAGAACAAACGAACCTGTTGTTGCAGCTGTTCCTACGGCAGCGTTCCCATCGACGTCTGTGTTCCTCTGCCACGGTGTCTACTGCTGAAGGAAGGACACACACACACACACACACACACACACACACTAGGTGTATTCAACAGATAATGAAGAGCATCTTCTTGTGTTGTCAGTCGTGGCAGTAAATTCACAACAAACAGCAGATTTTTCCTGCAGCTCCATTTGTTGAATTTGTTCATATTGACTCTATCTCCAACATCAAAAACTGATTTAAAATGTAATTCTGTTGTTATAATTTAAGCAGACCTATAATCTGATTCTATGTAGAGCAGCAACGACAGAAACTGTAAACAGAAAATGGAAAAAAAACCCTGTGATAATTCAACATGATGGTGATCGTTATGTCCTAATTAACTGGTTTCAAATCAGTGTCAATGTGATGGTGATCGTGTTCATGCAACATTTTTTATTATTTATTATTATTTTTTAAATGTAGGTTTGATGCATTCCTATGTACAAAACAGATTTTGACAGATTATGAATTCATTTATTTTTAAAGAAGATAAAACAACAATGAGACCCAGTGACTTCTCAAAGTTTTCTTTATATTCCTTCGCCCTCGTGATCCTCAGCTGTGGCTGTGCTGAAGAACACCCACGGCATTGTCTTCATGTTTAACTGCGAGGATAGTTTTCTTAAACATGTACTATTTTGACGAGATTTAGATTTACTAGTTCGTCTGATAAAATGTTGTGCTGTAGTCACCGTCTGTCGTTCAGAATTCCAGGCCTAGCATGTATGATTTTGTAAATGTATCATGTTCCTGTGTGCAATATTACTATCTGTATAAATAAGGTGGTTATGATAAAGAAAAAAGAGGAGAAAGTCCTTGCAATGTTTAGAAAAATGTGGCAAACACAAAGGCAGTGAAAGAATTCTCTGTTGACGATTTCTGAGTCAGTCGATTTGGAATTCTCTAATAATCTCTTTGGCCTGGACGATCATCTATTGTAGATGTGGCACATTTTTCTGCGGAAATTGAGTTACACCATACTTTAATAAAAAAATGTGTGTAACTACAAAAACACTTCATGCATTCCGATATCCCACTGATTGTTTTCAGAATTGTATCTGGATTTTGCTTCTCTTATGAAAATTCCTGAAGACTAGATGGTGGAAGTCAAGGTTCTCCTGCCCACACACAGTCAATAATTCACAGATGTTGTCGGGTTTCAAACCCACGATCTCCATTTACAATAAAGAGAGGATGCAAAAAAAAGCCACATTTCTACAATGGGATGTTAGCTTTGATATGAAAATGCTCTGATAGAACAAATGTAGACGCGTATGAAGGCTCGCTGTTGTTGTTGTTGTTGTTGTTTTGAGAAATAACCCTAACGCTACAGGGTGTGTGTTATTTATAAATGTATGCAAAGAACTCATTATTTATTCAAAATGAAGCTAAGATTTGAATGTGAGTGTGAATGCTTGTTTGTCTCCCTGTGATGGAGTCAACTGTCCCACGTCTTCACAAATACTCATTAAACATAAGTGAAATTACAAACCTATAAATGTAATAGTAAAATAATTGTTCTAATTCTGATTATTGAAATTGTGTTACTTTGCGTAGTGGATTAATGACAATTCGGTTTGTAATATTCGTTTAATTGCTATTAATTTAACTCATATCTTTGCTTTTCCACGTTAAAAAAATGTAATATAAAAATAGATAGTATCATAAAAACATATATAATTATAAGAACGCACTTTAAGCCTCTTCTCTGCACTCGTGTCAGACTGACATTTATCAGTAATAAGAGGTTACAGAGCCTTTCTCTCTCCCTCTGTGCCTCGCTCGCTCTGTACAGCTCTGTACAACACTCCTCCCTTTCCATACTTGGCAATGCACTTCTTGCTCCATCGCCATTGGCTGCTGCTGAGAGAGCCCTGAGTGACCCGGATGTGCAACCCTGGCCCTGTTTTCTGCTGCTGCCTCCTTCCTGTAGCCCGGTTGAGGAAGTGAATTTCGCTGACAGGGCTGGGTTCAGTGAGGGTGAGGCGAGTAGAAAAACATCTTCCGCGGGGGTTCAAAAAACGGACAAGAAACGACAGAAGCCAGGAGCGTTTTGGTAACGGAGGTTCAAGCTAAAGTGCACGGCCATCGGTGAATTCGAGCTCCCCTTGCCCCGCTGAGACCGCCGTAGACATGGTAAGGGCCGCGGCAGAGCTGCTGGGAAAAAGGGGGCTGCTGGGAGCAGGGCTGTGTTGCTGCTGCTGCTACTGCTGTTAGCCGAGCGGTAACGGCTGAGCCGAGCTGTTGTAACCGGAGACATGACGTGGAGTATAAATCACCGGGCTTCTTATAACCTGCTCGGTGTACTGAATCTGTATTTAGCAGCCGTTAACGACTAGCCTGAAAGCTCATACAATAGCGCAACATTAAAGCTGTGCTGTTTTTTTTCTAGCCTTCAGCTAGTTAGCGGTTAGCTGGGCTAGCTGCTTCGTAGGTACATAAAGTTAGCACAGGATGTTTTGGATTTGACACAAGTTCGTGAGCAGGATCGGGGCAGTGTCCTAATATAACATCTTCTCACACACTCATACGTGCACACAATCCTCCAGCCGTGCACACGCGCACACACACGCACGACCAGGCTATAATAGTCCAGAGCCGGGTAGCCTGGAGCTAAAATAAGACTGGCTGCTGCTCCTATTCCACTCCATGTCAAACTGTCAGCCTTTACTTCTGCTCTTTACTGCATTTGAATCGTGGATCCGTTTTTTTCCTAGTTTCCTCCCCTTTTAAACATAGGTTGTAGTGACATTACTGAAAACCTTTACATATAATATAAATAATAATAATAAAAACATTCAATATGACAATATTATAGCATGAATAAACATTGGCCTGTAATTGTTCCAGCTATTATGAATGTGTATTATCATACCACACAGTAATAGTACAGCTGAAGTACTCTCCTCCAGGGAGCTGAGGTCCTGCTTTGTTTACTGCATCTTCTTTAGTGTCAACATCATTATTTGAGTTGCTCTCCTGCTATATCTTTGCTCTATTTTTTTTCTATTTAAGCAAATGTTTGTATCCTTTAACTTGCAAAAGATAAGAGAAGAAAAACAGGCAGAGGACAGCATCCTGACAGGAACAGATCCATCTATACTTTACTGCATTCCCTGACATTTTTTTTTGTACATTTGCAGTACTGTAAAGAGCAATATTGTGCTTTGTTTACAAATGTGACTTTAACAAATTATTCTATTCAATTATTTTTACACAGATTCTATGTTTTGAACTAAATGTTGAATCAGCCTTTACCGGTCTGAAAAAAAATTGCTGAACATTTGAAACGTAACTCCTTCTGCAGAGAAGATTTGTCTAAATATGGGAAGTCCATATGGGATTTCTCCATTTAGTTGCCCTCATCCTTACCCTCATCCATCCTGTTGCCTCGTCCTTACCCTGAACCCAAAGGTTGCAGGTCTGAGACAGTGTTTACACAACGATAGGAGTGCCAGTAAACACAGCGTCAAGGCTCGCAGGTGTCTGATGGAGGAGACGGATCCATCAGCTGTGGGAGGTTCTCAGGCAGACTGAAAGCAGAGGAGGTGGCAGGAGAGAGTGTGAGGAGGAACTGCTGTTTCGTTTATGGTCGCACAGAAATGTTTAGAGAAGCAGGGTTCTCTCTATGAACATGTCTTTTGATCAACTGGCGGCTCAGTGTGCACACATGATTCACACTGAGGGTTTGATACAGACAAGAATCATTAGTTAAGAGTTTTTCAGTATTTTAGAATGATTGAATTTTGCACTCCTGCTTGAAAATGCCCTTTTTGTCTGCAGTTCTCCAAGGGTAGATTTTTATTTATAATTATAGAAATACTGACTTAAGTCTCCAAGGGTAGATTTTTATTTATAATGATAGAAATACTGACTTAAGTTAATATAAATGTGTTTTCGTTCCTTGGTTTATAATAAGTTTATTAATAAACATAGTTATAACATTAATTGTTAACATTCCCATGTAGGTACCATTTACTATGTGTTTGATTAAGTGACTTAGCCATTGTTGAGGTTGAGATTGGCAAATACTGATGCCCAAAAAGAACAGCTTTAACATGACGGTCTGCTTCAACAAACTTCTTCCTACACATTTTTCAACACATTCCCCAGGGTTTCATGTCGCGGCTGGTCTGTCTTCCTCTGTTTGCTAATATCCTGCTGCTTACTGCATATTTAAGGGAGGGGTAACCCCTGGGGGCGGCCTCTGCTATGCAGTTTGCTCAGTTTAGGCCAGCCAAAATATAAAAACCAAAGATAAAGACTTTAGGCCTTGTCTATGAGCAGTTGGTTACTCCAGGATTTAACTGACAGACACTGACAAGCATGTCAGTTCAGTAGGCATCGAAGAACGAGACAAAACAAGGTCCAGTTGACGGTTGTTATGATGAACGTATCTGTTAAAGCAAAGACTGCAGACGGTGGTTATGGTCCAGCAAACAGTTTGTCACAAAACGTTTTCATTGGTTCAGTTGTCATGTTTATCTTCTCGTAGGGTTTTTTGCACCACGCCTTACCACGAACAGAAAAGATGCCAGTCAGCCGTCGTAAAAACATGAAAGTACAGCAGAAATTCAAAATGTCAGGAACAAGTAACAAATCTCAGTCAGGAACAAATTCATGACCATCTCTCTGTCTTATTTCAGCAAAAATGAACTGCTTCTTCCCTTATGAAAGTAATCCACTTTTATAATTGTATTACTAACCAGACTGAGATATTTATGTTTGGACTGAAGACTTTGGAGAATTTAAAAGATTATCACTTTGTGTTTTTCCTACAATCTGCGGAGTTTATGCCCTGACAGACGGTGGCGGCTGATGTACTGTATATAAATGTTAGTGTTTAAAAAGGAACTTGTTTCATTCAGAATAGAAAGTGTACATTCTAAACTTCTCACTTCAAATGTAGGTTCTTGCCGGTTACTTTCCACTGAGTTGTGTTCCGCATGACTTTGTCCACCGGCGAAGAGAGAGAGAGACCAGTTCTCAAATTGTTAAAAAAAACAAACAAAAAAAGCTCATGGCATTAAAAAGACGGTTGGGTTCAGAGTCAGACGTCCATATGGGCTGATAAGTCTGTGGTCGATGTTCTGGATATCTGTGTTCAGTCAGTCAAACCCTTGACAGCAAATCCATGAACAGGATGCACGGCTTGTTAACGTAAATAGAAAAGTGCTGGTTGTACGGGATCAGAACGTTTTGTACGAGAACACCAGACATACTGCAGCCCTGTTCCTTAGTAGTTAATGCAGTTTATTTCTATTTTATGTCTGTTTGTTTATGAATAGATAAATGTAAGTCTACGCATTTAGAAGAAAAAAAAACAGACAATCTCCCAAAAATTGTGGAACTAAATAGCTGAATTACTTTACTACTACTACTTAATTTGTTTTAACTTTTTTTGTATTAAAATGACTAAATAGCTGAATTACTTTACTACTATTACTTAATTTGTTTTAACCTTTTTTGTATTAAATTGCTTTTCTGTGTTTAACTGTAAATATTAAAAGTATTATCTGCCCATAATCTTTATATGATATGGACATGATGAGATCTTGAATAAATGTCTGCCCATAATCTTTATATGATATGGATCTGATGAGATCTTGAATAATTGACACACTTTTTTAATTCAGTAACATCCTCCTTTTCAATAAGACCTGTTCACGTGACAAGGGCTCCGTCTCTGAAGCTGATACTGTGTCTGTCACTGTAATCACCCTCTTACTGCACCCACAGTAATACTAGTTGGGTGTGTATACTTCCTGTGCAGTGGCTCATCTCGTACCATCGTACAGAATGTAGCAGCACCGTATCATGGTCTATTGCTCTGCTGCTGAAGTAGTTGAACCATGTGTGCTTGGCTCTGTGGAGTTACACTAGTGTTCTCTACACCATCTAACACAACAGGCCCTTTTTTTAAGTATATTTTGCAAGTGATTGTAATGTTTGGTGGTGGAGATAACTGATCTGTAGGTGGCAGTGCTGTACCCAATCGCTTGTCTGATGCTTGTGAAGGTAGAGGGAGGTCAACATGAAGCCTTTATTTTGTGCCAGTGCAGCGTGTCCTCGGACCATTGCGTTCAGATTTTTTTAGCACCACCTACAGGGCAGGGAGGGTATACCAATTGTGTTTGTAAACAGTCGACTTGAGTTACTCATCTACACCACATCATGCAGCATGTGACAGAGCAGCAAAAACCAAGACTGGATTTAGATTAGTATTACAATACCAATGTCCGAGCAGCGAACTTTGGAATTCATCTGACTGTAAGGACGGGTCACTGATTTGGTGTCCGTTCATTCAGACACTTTTTTTTTTTTTTTTATCATTGGCTGTAAAGTGAGTCTATGTGAAGAAATGTTAACAAGAACAAAACAAAACCTTTGGCCGATTTTGATTTCCTCTCATGTGGTTGGTGGGACTTGTTGATAACAATTTTCAGTGATTACAGTTTTCTTCAAATGATGAAAAAGTTTGAGGTTTTGCTCAACTAGGTCATAATGAAACCTTTCCCACGGATGGTCAGTCATAGGTTTTCTCTTCAGTTCATCCACTTTCAAATTAAAGTGTTCCTGTGCAGCCTCCTGTCTGAGGAATAAACGCTTGTGCAATAGGTCTGCAAAAAAAAACAAAAAAAACAATTGTGTACGTTCAGTGTCATTAATGTCCTCTGTCTCGTTTGTTTGTCTTAGGCTGACCACCAGCTGGACTGTGCTCTGGACCTGATGAGGCGTCTACCGCCTCAGCAGATAGAGAAGAACCTCAGTGACCTCATTGACCTGGTGAGTCTCCGGCTTCACTAACAGGCAAAAACACCTCACCGTTTCAGTGTAGAAGTGGTTCACATTCAGAGCATTGTTCACAAAACAAAAGAAGAAGTGGCTTTGAAACCATAACAATTAAATAAAATAAAAAAGTACCTGAAGAGCCCGGGCCTGAAGTCCTTCCTCCACCAGGTATTTACGTCCTACCACGGAGCTACGCTAACAGTTTCAGCTTTGGATCCAAACAGGCAGAAATGACATTATTTCTTTATAACTGATTAATTAGTGAACAGTTTGACCTTTTGTTTATGAATTTATGAAACGCAATCTCTGAAATAAAAGTTACTGCTTAGGCTGAAAAAAGGTGAACTCCAAGTATGTGAAGAGGCTCCGGATGGAAAAATGGACCAGGCTAATTAAGATAAGTTAATTAAGAAAATAAGATAATAAAGATAATAAATGAACTCTTTACTACAAAGTCCCGATAAGTAATAATAAAAAAAAACTTGATTTCTTTGATTTCACAGTCCCTTCTATATGACTTTATGACCGTGTTTTTATTTGATAAATACATGGGGCAGCGGTGGCTTGGTGGGTAAGGAAGCGGTCTGGAAGGTTTCAGGTTCGAGTCCACCAGCAGCCAAGTTGTGGTAACTTGGCNNNNGGTGGACTCGAACCTGAAACCTTCCTACCACTGAGGTGCACTGAGCACACTGCCCCCTGCTGACTTTGGTGATGGGGTTAAAATGTGCTGTGTCACAATGACAAATAATTCACTCCCTCTACATAATTTAGACCAAAAAAACCTATTGACTAATTGAAAAAAAAAAAAGTTTATATATTGATGACCAATTAGCCGATCAAGTGATCATTAGTATTAGGCATGTATTAAAACTGCTGATACTGTGAACATTTTAGACCTGATTTCACAGATGAGAAGATACACAGGAAGTTTTAGTTTTATATTTTTATTTTATTTTTTTAAGGTCAGTTCACCATGTGCCTCTGTTTATCATGTGGCTCTTTGCTGCTGACTGATTGGCTAAACACCTAGATGTGCTAACTCCGTCGTCCAATACTATTGTATTTACATTCAGGGGAAATTTTACTCGGTTCCTTTGACTCAAAGTCTGTAATCAGAAACCAGAGACACACTCTTTGTTCTTTATTAAAATAAAAAACAAGAACTTGTTTTGTGACTGAATTCCTTCCTCTTTCCCCCCACACCTTTACCTCCTCTCTCTCTCTCTCTCTGATCCTCACTCAGCCTCTGGTAGTTACTGATGATTATCACAGCTGTCAGTCACTGGCAGTGCCACTCACTGTTAGAATCTCTTCCTGGCCAGAGTGACTCAGCTGAAATCACCTCTGTCCTTCCTGTTTGTCCCACAGACCTTTTCTTTTTTCTCTTCTTTTTTAACCCTGCCTTGCCTTGACTTTCAGTTGTATGTGTGTGTGTGTGTGTGTATCTACGTGTTGGTGGTGTGTGTGTGTGGGCCGTGTCTGGAAAACAGGGCCTCCTTTGTGTCCGCGCTGTGGCGAGGTGGACAGAGGGAGGAGGGTCATAAGTCGCTGAGAAGTAATTTGTACCTCCTTATCCTATAGATATCCCGTTTCAGACGAACATTCTGTCCGGACTCCACACAGTGCCCTCTGTTGATGAAGTGGAATGTGAAACCTTTCAGTTTTATCAGGAACATTAGACGTGGAGACGAGCATTTGTAGTTCCAGTCTCTGTGTGTGTGTGTGTGTGTGTGTGTGTGTGTGTGTGTGAAGTTGTGGGAGGTTGTTTTGTAAACTGGCAGGAAGTCTTTTTAACGAGTGAAGATCTTGTTTTCATGTGTCTCAGCGGCCCAGATGTGCAGCAGAAATGTCTTCATTAATTCCAACTTCCTGTTTGTGTGTGTGTGTGTGTGTGTGTGTGTGTGTGTGTGTGTGTGTGTGTGTGTGTGTGTGTCTGCAGGTGCCCTCTTTGTGTGAGGACCTCCTCTCCTCTGTGGACCAGCCACTGAAGATTGCACGAGACAAGGTGGTGGGAAAAGACTATCTGCTCTGTGATTACAACCGAGATGGCGACTCCTACAGGTCAAGCATCTCACTGCATCAGATCATCAGAAATCAGATGATTACCACATGTCAATTATAGGGGAGAAAAAGCCATTTTTTACAAAAATTTAATTTGACAATTAAATGTAAATTAATTTACCTGTAAAGAAAAATGTTTGGAAACGTTTTACTTTTTTTTAATTGACATCATTTGACCTGACTTTTTTTTTTTTTTTTTTTAGAAAAATAGTACTGAATTGTGTGTGTGTACTGTATATCTCACCAGATCCCCGTGGAGTAATAAGTACGACCCACCCATCGAAGACGGCGCCATGCCTTCAGCTCGCCTGAGAAAACTTGAGGTTGAAGCCAATAACGCCTTTGACCAGTACAGAGACCTGTGAGTTTCACTGAAACAGTTTTGTCCAGTTTTTCTCTTTCTTTTTTTTCTTGCAACCTCAGAGTGACCTCTGACCTTGATTTTGGTTTTTAAGGTACTTTGAGGGCGGTGTGTCCTCTGTGTACCTCTGGGATTTGGATCATGGTTTTGCTGGTGTTATTCTCATCAAAAAGGCAGGGGATGGATCCAAAAAGATCAAAGGGTGTTGGGACTCCATCCATGTGGTGGAGGTGCAGGTGAGGATCGGTCCAGGTGGCGTTCGATCTTATTTGTATTTGGCCTAGATTCTCATTCAGTTAAAATCAGGAGCAAAATTACTTCTTTTTTTTTAAGTCGAGTACTTTCTGATTATTTTTTTTTTCCTTGTTACTCGTGTGATCAGGAGAAGTCCAGCGGTCGCACCGCTCACTACAAACTAACCTCCACCGTCATGCTGTGGCTCCAGACAACCAAGACCGGCTCAGGTACCATGAACCTGGGCGGCAGCCTCACAAGACAGGTACGTCAGCGACACCGCTGCTAACGTTCCTGGCTGTGTGTCCATCGTTTCCCTAACTGTGTATGTTGTTTTTTTTTTATTTATTCACAGACGGAAAGAGATGAAACGGTCGGAGAATCCTCACCTCACATCGCTAACATTGGCCGCCTTGTTGAAGTCAGTTTCATTCCCAGCATCCTCCTTGTTTGCTGTCTCCTGTTTCCTACTTAAGACTGGAACATGTTAAAGATGTTGTACTTCTGTGTATCGTTTTTCTGCCTCTTTCCCATGTAATGGATTAACCTGACCTCTGACCTGACAGAGAGGACAGCACGGCCTCGTTATCTCTGATTCTCCTGGATGTACAGTTAACAGGCACAAATGCTGCTGAGCTAAAGAGGTTTTCCGCTCTTGTTCCAGGATATGGAGAACAAGATCCGCTCCACACTGAATGAAATCTACTTTGGGAAGACCAAGGATATCGTCAACGGACTAAGGTAATCTCCACGCTGCTCAGAAAATTAGATTTGGTTTCTTCCTCCGCAGCAGGGTCTCCAGGCCGAGAGCAGCTTCGATCGTGTCTCCATCTGCTGCTGACCTTCAACTCTGTTACTTTATTTTTTTTCCATTTCTACCGTCTGACTTCATTTTAACCCACTTTATGTTCAGTATTTACTTTATCTCCTGTTCCCTCCAAACTCCCCCTCCTCACCCCTTCCCTGAACTCCTTTATTTTTTTCCATTGTTGCCTTTTTATCACACTTCTCCGCTGCTGTCCTTATTCTTGTCTGTCCCTATCATCAACCCCCTCTGCCTCCCTCCATCAACCCCCTCTGTCTCCCTCCTCCTCCTCTCTGATCCAGATCTATTGAGTCTTTGCCTGATAACCAAAAGTATCGGCAGCTCCAGAAGGAGCTGTCACAGGTCCTCACCCAGCGTCAGATCTTCATTGACTAAAGCCGGAGGTATAAGCTGGCATGTGGACGCCTGTCCGTGTGTATGGGGGGAGTGAGGGGGTGGGGTTTAACCTGTGCATGTCTTTGCACCTCCGCTGCTCGGTCTGCAGCCGTCTTGTGTGAGCACGTTAATGCAGGTGTGATCTAACAGACACCGTGTGTCGAGAAAAGACTGCTGGTTCTGTAAGTACCATGGAACAACTTCATTCGGATTTAAGGTTTAAAATCTTCAACATGTCGGACCTTCAAAAACAGAGAACTGTTCATTTTTATTTGACTTGTACGGGTGTGTATTAGCAATACCATATGTATCACGATACGGGCAACGGTACGATATATTGAGATGCTATAGGCTCGGTGATTCTTTTTTTTTTTTTTTCCATCATAACATCAGTTGAGATGCTATAGGCTCGGTGATTCTTTAAAAAAAAATTTTTTTTAACATCAGGTGAACCAACACCAGGAATATTTGGGAATTGTTCATTTAAAAAAAATCCATACAGTGCTGTAGAAAATTGATACACAAACGTGAAACAAAATATTGCAATATTTCAGTGTATCAATATTCTCTTACACCACTATTGACTTAAATAAACCCCTTAACCAGTGGAACCAATATTCTCTTACACCACTATTGACTTTAATAAACACAGTAAACCTCCTTAACCAGTGGAAACACTTCTGTTTTTTTCAGAGCTTATCATTTCATTTTCTTATGTACGGTCTAACGAATGAAACTGTGATCGACATGAAATGTTTTTCTTCTGTTTATTATTTTATTTTTGTGGGAGGGTTGGATGGGGGGTTCCCATTAAAATACAACACTGAGTAATTTAAAACAAAAACAAAATTCTAACTCTACGTCTCCAGAACGACTGTTTTTGTTTATATACTGTAGTTATTTTCATGTTGTTTTGATTTGTTTGCATTGCCCTAACATTAATAGTCTAACGTCTGCACTGTGTGTGGAATCAACTGCTGCGTGTCTGAGTGAGTGTACAGATGGAGTACTCTGTGTACTGAGAGTGTACTGTTCTGAGTCAACTGTTGGACGCTCTGTTTTATGCCTGGTCTTTTTGTCTTAATATCTAGTGCTTTTATTCACTTGTTTTTTTTCCTTCTTCTTCTGTGTTTCTCCTGGACAGGAGTGTTCAGACTCTGGCTGACAAGTCAAAGCAGGAGGCTCTGAAGGTCGACCTGATGGAGGCACTCAAACGCAAACATCACACCTAAAGATGCTACTGTTCTTTTGTTCTGTTTTTTTTTTTTTTCGGGGTTTAGTTTTGTTTTTTGTTTTTTTTCCTTCTCTCACTCTGTCCGCCTCATCTCTGCCATCTTTCTCGGGTTTTTTTTTTCTGTCTTTCTCTCCACGCCTGTTCATCATTGCTTCACTCTTTAAGTCTGTGGAGTAACAAAAAACGGGTAATTGCTTGGCTTTTTTTTTTTTTGTTTTGTTTTGTTTTGTTTTGTTTTCTTTGTCTGTCAGCTTCTGTTTTCATGCGTCTCATCTGCCATGAAGCCATTCACTCCCCCCTCTCTCTCACTCCTCACCCCTCTCTTCTTTGTCTCTTCTCTCCCATGTAATGAATATAATGATAGTATTACCACAGTTAATGATAATCTTACAGTGTGAGGGTCATTGTTATAATAATCCCTAAAGTTTCCACAGTTGGCGTGTCCTCAGTCACTTTAAAAAAAAAAAGAAAGAAAAGAAAAAAGATCCACTCGTGGCCCTGCTCTTCCTCCGTGCCGAGGAAAGGGGACATGGACTGTGCAGCCGTCGGTGCAAAGCTCCGCGGGGCCGCCATTATCGTGTACATCAAACTTATTTACTTGCACCTATTTTTGTCGATGACACCCTGATATATTTGTATAGAATTATAACTGTGCTTGTATGACTGTCATTTTTCTGACCGTTGTGAACGGTGCCAACGAGAGTGAAACCCTGGGTCTGCATGCACATGATGCCTGTGTAGGAGTGGTCCTGCCACGGTGGGTGGAAATGTAGACTTATCAAACACGGGGGCGGGGGGGTAGACTGTTAATAATCACTGGGTACACACTCGTCATCGGCCCAGTCCCCCACACTGTACCACACGACACTTTGTCTCTCTTCTGTTCGACTTACTCTGCTCGTCTCTCTTCTCACCCACTTACTTACGTCTTTGTTGGGGGTCACACTCTGTCCTTGTGTCGCAGCTTTGACCGTTTCCGTATTGGAGGGGAATCTTTTATTGTATTTTTGTTTTTGTTTTTATTTTGTAAAGCTTATGATTCATATTGTATTAGAGCCTCCAGCAACAATAAAAAGGGTAAAAAGGTATTCCAAGTTTTTTTTTTTTTTTTTCCATTTTTGAGTCAGTCATGAGCCAGAGGTAACGTAAACAAAGTAATTAGTACTTGTTAAAATCAGGCTTTATAGTTATTCATGTGGGCAACAATTTAATTATACACATTTCTCAATGTATATCAGGTATTTTGAGGACGATTTAATTCTAATGTTCACTTGTCATTTTATAAAGGCAGTCATATGTTGGCTAACAAAAATACCAAGCTAACTTTAGTTAGCTGTTAGCTATTTAGAAAAATATTTTTTTATTACAGATATATACGAAGTTTACCACAAACAATGTTACCACAGTTATCTATAAAAATTCAAATGTATGTTTCAACTAAAATTTAAAAAGAACTCGTCAGTGTGATATTAGACGATCTATTTGAGAACCTCCGGTACACGATAAGAAGATCGTCGTAGAGTTACAGTTTCTGGTATATATCAACGGGGCATCACGTTATCGGTGTTATAGGTATTCTGCAAAAAAGTATTATAATATATATTTTAATGTATTAATATATTAAAATATAATATTGTTTGTTTGTTTGTTTGTTTTTTTGACCGACGACCCGGAAATGAAAGTATCGACGTCACTCAACACTAAGGTGAGTTAATGTCTTTTGTCTTGATATAAAATGTTTCCTTGTATATAGTGCGTTAGTGCGCATTAGTGTGTTTACGCCGTTGAATATGAATATATGTAATTAAATTATATTTATATACTTCTAATTATTCTTTTATATTTTGTTTTCCATCGTTTTTATTAGTGAACTATCATCACTATGTTTGACTCCAAGTTGACGTAAGTCTCCACACGTCACGTCAACCGTCCAGGACTGACGCCATGATCCCCAGAAGATGAAGTTACGGGTTCCATTGACCAAATGTTGTCATCTGTTGCCATCTTGTGGCAGAGAAGGTACCGGTAAAACGTTTTTTCAATTTTAAAACATACCGTTAATGATCCTAATTCTGGTTACATTCATTTAAGTTTTTTTCTTTTGGATAGTAGCTAATTTAGCACAAGTGCTATTGATCCCCTTAGCGTCTGGAGGACTGTGTGGTGACTATATTTCTAAACCACTGAGCTGTTTCTTAAATAACTAACTAAAATAAAAAGAGTGTTTACGCTTGTGTAACTTGATGCCAATATTTATATTATTAATATAAATTTGAACTGTAAAGTTCGTAAATCACCACATATAAACTGTCAATGTGCTGTGATTTAAGAAATAGCGTTCGTGTGAGATAAACTGCTACTGCGGTTTGTCCACTAGAGGTCAGTGATACATCAGCTGAACTTCACAACCGAGTCCCAGTTTAAACCATAGTATTTACTGTATGAATGTTTTGTTTTATTCCTCTACCAATGTCATTATTCTTATTTTATTTTGTTTATTATTAGGCTTGTTTTTGATATAATGCTTTTACTAAAACATATATTAAGGTTGAATTTTTAGATCTCATTCGAAATGTTTCTTAATGTCATTATTCTTATTTTATTTTGTTTGTTATTATGTTTGTTTTTGATATTATTCTTTTACTAAAACAGATATTAAGGTTGAATTTTTAGTTCTCATTCGAAATGTTTCTTGAACGAGTCCTTACTGTTCCGGACATAAAAAAAGAAAAGAAAAATTACACCAGTAACCAACCTATTTCTGAGGACTTCTTGATCACATCTTGTATTGCTAGTACTAAAGAAATACTATGTTCAAAACTTAAAAACAATTTAAAGTAAGTGCGTCTTCCAGCAGGAGATAATTTTTCATTCAGCCAACTCTACTTCTTAAACAAACGTGTCTATTTTCTCAAAGTAAGTGCGTCTTCCAGCAGGAGATCATTTTTCATTCATTTCAAAATTTAAAGTTCTGTAGGCCGGATTAAAGATACTGGCGGGGCCAAATCCTGCCCCCGTGCCTCCAACATACAGGCACACACATACACACACGGAGGGGGGTTATTATAATGAGGAGACTCTCCGCTCAGTAGGAGCAGGAGCCATTTTTGTCATTCATGCGTAGTTGCGCGGACAGAGCGGAGGTGCTGCTGCGGCTGTAGTGTCTGTTTCCACCGGCGTGCGTCTGTGTGTGTTCGTGTGAAAGTGCGCGAGCTCCGGCCAAGGTTTCTGCCTGTTCCTCTGTGAGAACCAGCCGGAGAGAAGTGCGTCCACTGAGAGCATGGCTCCTCTGCAACAAAGGGAAAGTCACGGGCTGAAAGTTTGAAGTCAGGAGCCGTGGAAGAGCTCTCCACTCCGGGACCCGGCGGATCACACACTGAGGAGATATGCACTTCATAACAAGGGATTTGTTTTTCATTTTCTGCTGGTGCAAAGTGCTTTGGTCGGCGCACAGCTTCAGCCTCCACATCAGTGAGGATGCGGGACCAGGGACCGTGCTGGCCGGCGTGGAGCAGGGCGCACGGTGCGCTTTGGATCAGGTTCTCGCGCCGACGTTTTCGCAGCAGTTTCTGGAGACGGACGCGGCTGCGGGCATTGTGTTTCTCTCAGAGCGGATCAAGTGCGCCTCGTTGCGCTCGAACCCTTTCACCGTGTACACGGTGTCGGACTGTAGGGACTCCGGCTTCAGACACCTTCTCATCAGCCAGTACGAGGTTCACGTACACGGTAGGGACTGTTTAAACAAACCTAAAAGAAAAGCTGCGTGGGACATGGACGTCCTCAGTTTACTCGGTCCCCGCTCAGAGTGCCACCAGGCCGGCTCTGCTCTGGTGCCTGTGGCCGGTCTGGTTCCTGGATCACCGGTTCACTGCAGGGTGACTCACAGTCGGGACTTTTACTACTCAGAGGGGACCCTGTTTTTGTCTGAGACTCTGTGCTGGAGACAGGACACCATGGTGGAGTTAGACCTGGTTTGTGACACAGTCACAGAACATGGGCCGAACAGAAAAGTCCACTCCATCATCATCCACTGGCGTGTGGGGCGGGGGCCCTTCCAGCCCACTCACCTGAAGAAACTGTTGGAGAAAGCGTCTCAGTCCGATTCAGGCATAGTGAGCAGGAGAAGGAGAAGCATCAACAACAGCCCCCAGTTCCAGCCTCCCATGTACCAGGTGTCAGTGGCAGAGAACAAACCTGCTGGGACTCCTGTTGTCCTCCTGAAAGCAGTGGATGTGGACGAGGGGGAGGCAGGGAGGCTGGAGTATTTCCTGGAGGCTCTGTTTGACAGTCGCTCCAACAACCTTTTTGCCGTAGACCCCGCCACAGGTGCAGTGACCACGGTGGAGATTCTGGATCGGGAGACCAAAGACACGCACGTGTTCCGTGTGACGGCGGTCGACCACGGCACCCCCAGGCGTACGGCCATGGCCACCCTCACTGTCACGGTGAGAGACACCAACGACCACGACCCTGTGTTTGAGCAGGAGGACTACAAGGAAAGTATCAGAGAGAATTTAGAAGTAGGTTATGAAGTGTTGACCGTCAGGGCCACAGATGGAGACGCTCCTGTCAACGGGAACATCCTTTACCACATCCTCAACAGTAACGGCTCCAACGATGTGTTTGAGATCGATTCAAGGTCGGGCGTAATCCGCACCAAAGGCCTGGTCGACAGAGAGGAGGTAGAAGCTTACATGCTGTTGGTTGAAGCAAACGATCAGGGTCGTGACCCCGAGCCGCGCAGCGCCACAGCTACTGTTCACATAGTGGTAGAGGATGATAACGATAACGCGCCCCAGTTTAGTGAAAAACGTTACATTGTCCAGGTGCCCGAGGACATGGCGCCGAACACGGAGATCCTGCAGATCACGGCCACAGACGAGGACAGAGGAAGTAACGCCGTGGTTCACTTCAGCATCATGAGTGGAAACACCAGGGGGCAGTTTTACATCGACGCTCAGACCGGTCAAATGGACCTGGTCAGTCAGCTGGACTATGAGGCAAACAAAGAATACACTCTCAGAATCAGAGCTCAGGACGGAGGACGACCCCCGCTGTCCAACATCAGTGGCCTGGTGACGGTGCAGGTGTTGGACGTCAATGACAACGCCCCCATTTTTGTCAGCACGCCGTTCCAGGCCACGGTCCTGGAGAACGTGCCCCTTGGATACTCCATCATCCACATCCAGGCGGTGGACGCTGACTCTGGAGACAACTCCAGGCTGGAATACCACCTCACAGACACCACGCCCAACTTCCCCTTTGCCATCAACAACAGCACAGGCTGGATCGTAGTGGCGGCCGAGCTGGACAGAGAGAGCGTAGACTTCTACAACTTTGGCGTGGAGGCCCGCGACCAGGGATACCCTGTCATGTCCTCCTCGGCCAGCATCAGCATGACCATCCTTGACGTCAACGACAACAACCCGGAGTTCACTCAGAAGGCGTATTACATGCGACTGAATGAGGATGCGGCGGTTGGGACCAGTGTGGTGACGGTGTCGGCCGTGGACCAGGACATCAACAGCGTGGTGACCTATCAGATCTCCAGTGGCAACACACGGAACCGATTCTCCATCACCAGTCAGAGCGGAGGTGGGCTCATCACCCTGGCTCTGCCTTTGGACTACAAACTGGAACGACAGTACGTTCTCACGGTCACTGCGAGCGACGGCACTCGCCTGGACACCGCCAAGGTGTTTGTCAATGTCACCGACGCCAACACACACAGGCCCGTGTTCCAGAGTTCACATTACACCGTCAACATCAACGAGGACAGGCCCGTCGGCACCACTGTGGTTGTGATCAGCGCCACCGATGAGGACACGGGGGAGAACGCACGCATCACGTACTTCATGGACGACAGCATCCCTCAGTTTGACATCGACCCCGACACCGGAGCCGTGGCCACGCAGATAGAGCTGGACTACGAAGACCAGGTCTCCTACACTCTGGCCATCACTGCTCGAGATAACGGCATCCCACAGAAGTCTGACACCACCTACCTGGAGATACTGGTGAACGACGTCAACGACAACTCCCCCCGCTTCCTCCGGGACCACTACATGGGCTCCGTGATGGAGGACGTGCCGGTGTTTACCAGCGTGGTTCAGGTGTCCGCCACGGACCGAGACTCGGGTCTCAACGGCCGCGTCTATTACACCTTCCAAGGCGGAGAGGACGGCGACGGTGACTTCATCATTGAATCCACCTCAGGCATCGTTCGCACTCTGCGCAGATTGGACAGAGAGAATGTTCCGGTCTACAGCCTGCAGGCTTTTGCTGTGGATAAAGGAGTTCCTGCCCTGAAAACGGCGGTCAACATTCAAGTGACCATCCTGGACGTGAACGACAACCCGCCTGTGTTTGAGAAAGACGAGTTTGACATCCTGGTGGAGGAGAACAGTCCCATCGGCGTGGTGGTCGCGCACATCTCAGCCACAGATCCAGACGAGGGCAGTAACGCCCAGATCATGTACCAGATCGTGGAGGGAAACATCCCCGAGGTTTTCCAGCTGGACATCTTCTCTGGAGAACTGACCGCACTGATAGACCTGGACTACGAGACGCGGTCTGAGTACATCATCGTGGTCCAGGCCACCTCCGCCCCTCTGGTGAGCCGGGCCACGGTCCACATCAAACTGCTGGACAAGAACGACAACGTGCCCGTGCTGAAGAACTTCCAGATCATCTTCAACAACTACGTCACTGACAAATCCAGCAGCTTCCCTACAGGAGTGATCGGCCGCATTCCCGCCCACGACCCAGACGTCACGGATCAGCTCCATTACCGCTTTGAGGTCGGAAACGAGTTGAACCTGGTCCTGCTCAACCAAAGCACAGGGGAGATCCAGCTGAGCCGGGCCCTGGATAACAACCGGCCCCTGGAGGCCTCCATGAGGATCTCAGTGTCAGGTGAGACTGTTGGATAAGTCTTTGTAATTGCAGACCCACCCAGCCAGTGAAAAAAAAATGGTTCAGTGAGAGCGAGTGAGACAGCAGCTTCAGTCGGGTGTAATTCTACTCTGTTTCTATTTTCCTGCTCCTTTTATTTTCACTTCCCTGATGTAAAAGGTTTGGCCTGGAGGGTCGATGGTCCTTCAATAGTCATTCTCCTATAAGTCAGTCACTATGGATTGGATGAGTCTTTTTTTTAAACCAAAGAAGTAAACAAAAGCCCCACACAGTGTTTGAACACATGAACTTCAGTGTTTTGTGGCTCCTTTTTTCTCCTCGTTTCCATAATCACAAAATCCTGATGGAGCTTCGTCTTCGTCTGGTTGTCTGAGCATGTCTGCCTCCTGTGGGATTCACACTCCAGTAAAACCCACGCTCTGTTTCATTTACATTTGTCTCAATCAGAGTAGAAAGTCAGAGGTTTCTGTTTTCTACCACGTTCGTGGTCACGTTGTTTTCCCAGCGAGCCGTGGGTTGTGGTTTTTAATCTGACAGTAATTCTGACGGTTGCTCCCAGCGCCGGGCTGTTAAAGGCTGATTACTGAGCTGTGAGTGTGTTCTCAGGGACAACGTACAACAAGAGTTGGCCCAGTGTAAATCACTCTTTGTTCCTCTCGGTAGTATGGGATAAGAAAGGTCATGTGTTGTTGTCAGTGAGGCCGAACAATGGCTCAGGCTTTTCATGTTCCCTCCTGTTGTCCTCCTCCCTGAACCACCTGTGTCCCTCAACCTCTCATTTCAGCACAAATTACTGTGTTTTTATTTGCCCCAAATATGTGACTGAACTTGAATTGCACCAGCAGAGTGTGTATGTGTGTTGATTTGATGCAGTGTGATCTGCTGTAAATCTGCCTTTTCCTTGACCTTGGCAGACGGAACAAGACGGATCCTGGAATGTCATTAAGACTTGTAAAACAGGCAATTTTCTCCAATTTCCTCCCGCACGCCCTCCTAAAATATCTCCTCCACGGACTGGAACAAGGCTCCCCCCCCACACACAAATCACACCCCGGCCTGGGGGCGGGGGGGGGGGGGGGTTGGGGGGGGGGGGGGGGGGGCCAACAGCTGTGACTCCACCGAGGACCAATTAGAGGCAGTGTCTCCCCAGAACGTCCAGCACCTGCTGGGGTTTATGTGTCAGTAGCCCTGCAGGAGAGAGAAGGAGGAGGAGGAAGAGGAGGAGGAGGAGGAGGAGGAGGAGGTGTGATGTTGTGCTGGTGTCACTGAGAGACATCTGTAAAATAGAGTGATACAGTCAGAGAGGAGGAAAGTGGTTGGAGAAGGAGTTGGGGCAGGAGTATGAGCTCCTCCTCCTCCAGATGATGCTGACCCCAATTTTCAAATGCTGTCGTCCTTCAGGGACCTCCCAAGTCTTTCCATTATCTTTGCCTTTATGCTGCCTGTTCAGAGGCCCCGTCTGATGGACGATGTCTGCTGCGCTCTTTTGTAGACTGTGCGACTGTGATTAACAACAACTCTGACTGAAAAAAAAAATATGATGGAAATTTAAATGAGCTCTGAGGAAGTGATCCACAAAGAATCAAAAGTCGATCTTTGAAACGAGTCCAGTTCACGTCGGATTGAGGCTTATTATTCATGTACAGTGGACGCCGAGCACAGCACCCGTGTCTAAGACACTAGATCGAATTCTCCCAATTAAAAATAACTAAAAAAAACAAAATTTAAAACAAAAAAATTAAATTAAAAAAAATAAATTATTTTGACATTTTTTTAAAAATATATATATTTAAAAAATGTAATTAAAATAAAAACAGGTTTAAATATATATATATTTAAAAAATGTAAAAAAAAATGTAATTAAAAAAACAGATATAGCGGACAGTGAGCAAGACAGCGCCACAGAGTGTCGGAGAGAAGGATTATATTTTATAAGGATTTTCAAATTCCGGTGGAAAAAATGGAGCTGGGTTGAACACTCGTAACTCGTAAATTTCCTCGTATCAGGATCAAAATCGTGCAACATTTGCAGACTCGTAACATCAAATACTCGTATTTTGGGACGCTCGTACCTAGGGGGCTCCACTGTACAAATGTTATGTTTTGTAGGGAATAAAAATCAGTTTCACAGAAAGCCATAACAAAGACCAGAGAAAACATAAAAGTGATGTACGATGACTCTGTCCACGTCCACGTCCACGTCCTGACTCGTAATAAGGACACACACTTGTGGTTCTTGTTGTACGGTCATTCACATATAGTATTTTCCATCAAACAGCATTCGTCTGGACCCTGAACATGAGGCTTTATAATCATATTCATGTCGGCGTCGTGTGCCGGCAACAAAAGCGGGGATCATGTGATCATAATGAGTCGATTTGCTGCAGCGGTGCGGGAGAAAAACATCCAGTCAATTTCACTGACTTTGAATATTGTTCATTTCACCAGCGTGAGTGTGTGAGTGTGTGTGTGTGTGTGAGACATGTGGACGTCTTGATCAGTGTTGTGGTCTCACTGCAGGATGAGCGTCTGTGGGATTAGACGTGCTGCATCTGTATCCTGTTAGATCAGTGTTGACTCGCTCGGGGCCTGAGCTTCTGTTTCCCAGCTGAGCGTGAGCCTGCATAAGTAAGGCTTTTTTTTCCCCTCGCCCCGCTGTTTTATTCACCCTCAAAGTCCTGTTAATTTGCCTATAGGAAGGACGGCTAATCCAAGGATATCCTTTAATTCCAGACAAAGTCACTCGCAGTTTGATGTGAGGACAGTTCCTTCTCTCCCTCTCTCTCACCCCCTCCCTCCCTGTGTCTCCCATACCTGCATAACAAAGTGACTCACTGGAAGCCACACATTTATATTCATGCTGACTTTAGAAACTCATCCACAACCAAATAATGTCAGCTCTATTCCACTCACATCACACTGCAGATAGGGGGCGTGTTCCGACCGCACGGTGGACGGCGGCAGATATGTTGTGTTTGTGGTCAGGGTGTGCAGTGGACGCCTCTGGGTGCAGGTCTGAAGTGTGTCCGAGGGGGTTTAAGTGTACTGGCGTCCGGCCCGGCCGACAAGGACGGGTTTTTTTATGTGTGAATGTTTTGTGGTTTTTACATGTTGAGTGTAACATGGATATAAATCTGGACCGTGTTAATGTGTTTATGAGTTCTTGGATCCACGGTCCAGTTCAACCTTGGATAAGAGAACGCAACAAGACCGGAATGTTAATGAAAACGTCGTCTCTGTGCTGTGACAGGAGGTCTTTATTATCAACCTGTGGTGGGAGGTTAGGACCCTGAGCTCTCTCTCTGTCTCATCATCTGAGACAGAGGTCAAAGTTCAACTGTAGTTGTGAATCTCTCAGAGGTCAGCTGAGGTCAGGACTGTTACCTTCATGGTGATCTAACTCACCACATGTTCCTGTGGAAATGTTTCATTTTGACGTATCCTGTCAAGAACTCGGGTTTTTGTCAACTTGTATCGGCGGAGTAGAAAAACCCCCTGGTGGAGAAAACGTCTCATTTCATCACTGAACATAATAGAAGGACTGGCTTTCTACCCAAAAAAATTAAGTAAATAATTACGTGTTTGAACAGTAAACGTTACTTTTAATAATCTGTGACAGTCCAGTGTTATAATGTCACAGATTTATATACATACGTACAAATATGTATTTAAACATATACATATGTATATATATTTATATATAGATATAAATATATATGTGTATATATATATATATAT